GCTATTTGAAGCCATGTAGACAGAACTTTAGCCACAATCCATACCTGTAGTTTCCTGCGAAATTCTGCTGCTTGATGCATTTTCCCTCAAACCAGATTCCATCCAATTTGAAAGTGTTCTTTGTGGTTAAATCTCTACTGTGTACATGCAGCATGTAAATGCAACATGAAATACAGTGGCTAAGGGAACAACCTTTCTAGGTTTTAAGCTGCTAATGTGTACATAGCCCTAAAAAGGCAAAGGTACCCCTGACTGTTAGGTCCAGTCACGGACGACTCTGGGGTTGCGCGCTCATCTCACTCTATAGGCCGAGGGAGCCGGCGTTTGTCCGTAGACAGCTTCCGGGCCATGTGGCCAGCATGACTGAGCCGCTTCTGGCGAACCAGAGCAGCACACGGAAACGCCGTTTACCTTCCTGCCAGAGTGGTACCTATTTATTTACTTGCACTTGACGTGCTTTTGAACTGCTAGGTGGGCAGGAGCTGGGTGCAAACAACGGGAGCTCACCCTATTGTGGGGATTCGAACCGCCGACCTTCTGAATGGCAAGCCCTAGGCTCTGTGGTTTAGACCACAGCACCACCTGCGTCCCTATGTACAGAGCCCTAGTTTTGAACAAAAGTTTCGGGCCGTGCTGCTCCTTCCTCTTAATGCTGCACTGCCAGTCATCTCAGAAAACTTTGACACTTTTTGTCTAAATCTCCCTGCACATTCTGTGTTTTCCAGTTGTCGATAGTCAGTACCATCAAAAATGGTATAGGCAAAGGAGGCGATACGACTATCTTCTAACACCACAGCAAGGCTAACACTGCCACTCCCCTGCCAAAGTATTCTTCCTCCTTCTCTCCAATCATAGTGGTGGATGAGCCAACAGATTGTTGGCTCCAGACAGTGTTAGCATCACTATAGAACTAAAGATAAAATCTGGATTTTAAAAAAATCAGCTGAAAAAATCTTTAGTTGCCATGTTCTCTGCTGCTGACAATTTTTTCAAAGGACCTCTGGCTAGCCATAGGGTATTCTCACAGGGAAACGTGTTTTTGGTGAGAGGTTGAACTAGGAATGTTGCCTCCCACACATTCCTTGCTCCAGCTCCTGCTCCCCCCCCCCCCGCCACTTTTCACCTGGGAATCTTCAGTTCCAGATGGGGCTTACTCAGCAGGGAGCCTGCATCATGTCTCTGAAACCTCAGACCAAAAGGAGAAAAGCTCTGGGCTCGGAGGCTATGTTTGAGCACGAGAGAACAATGTAATTCCAGACCGATGAACAGCTGACCTGTGCGTATTGCTTGCTTCGTGCCAGGTGGAAAAAGACCAAGGCTGTAGTACCACCCGCCCAGAGCCATGAACACTTTACCACTCACTTCTTTAGACACAGCAGGTCTGGGTTTCATTTTTCATTTATCTGCTTTTCAAATAATGTTACTCATACAGATCGGCTGTCTGTACACACCACTCACGGTGCTTGTCTGCATTGTTTCCTTAGATTTAGATTCTTCTCTCCTTACCCTTTCAGAGTCAGCTGTGAGTAATCCTTTTGAAATCGATGGGACAAGTCAGACACTCAATAGCGCTGTGTAAGAATATTCCTTGCTTTGAGGCTTTAAGTTTCAACTGCTGTTTATGTTGTTGTTTCTTCTTATGGCCTAGACTTCATTTACCGTAATATGCTTTGGGACAGATCCTTGTCTACTGAAAAACTGCAACAGCTCATCAATTTCAGTTACATCAGATGACTTTCTGATCCATTCAGTTCCCTGATTTTTGTTTTAATGAGAATTAAGGGAGAATCTGCCCATTTGTTTTCTTTTTGTTTCTCTCACTTTGCTTATTGTTTTACCAGCTTCTTCACAAAGGTCCTTCCTTTCCGTCTTTCCCCATATTCTTGTCTTCATCTCCATACTGCCTTTCATATTTTATTCAACCAGCACTCTCTTTTTGCTGCTTTGACACCAAGGCCCAGATCCTGGACTGGTGAAAACGGACTTTCCCCCCTAAACCACGCAACTGCTGCATAGGAGCTGAGCAAGGTCCACCTGTCTGCATCACGTATAATAGCAGCAGAATTGCCATACAAAATGCACCACTTGTATTTTATTTCTCTGTGTGTTTCCTCTCTTCCTTGGGGAGGAACTGACGTTTACTTTTCTCAGAAGAAGACCGCCCTGTGGGATGTAAAACATCAACAATCATTATCCATACTGGTGCAATATAGTGGGAACAGAGCTTTGTGCCACCCTAGGGTCTTGGTTGGACTCTCTGAAGGTCACTTGACAAGGTCTGGTGTGTGAATTACCATGTTTGTAATGCTGGGGCACAATCTTCTGTTTTAAGTGCGTGCTTGGGAGGACTCGACAGAAAAGCATTTGGGACACAGCCCGGTCCTTTCTCAGTGCAAAACTGCAGCAGATCAATGAATATTTTAACAAAGAAATATTTCATTAAAAGGGTTGATTGCTTAATGAACTGTCCCTGCGAGCCATCAGACTGCAATGGTTCTCCCCCCACCTCCCTTTAACAAAGGCAAAGATTCATATCACGAAGAACTGGCTTATCAAATTACCGTAATAGCCTGTGTAGAACATGCACTCTTCAAGAATAGCTTGTGATGTAAACAGGGTACGAGGACTGGCTCATGTGGCAGAATGATGGGCAGCTACTTTTGCTTATACAGAATGTGTGACATTTGATATGGACACATCAGCATTGTGGGGTGTCTAATGTACATATTTGTTTAGGACCTAGAACTACCAAGACCTGGGCTGGATTGGGTCCTTTAGGTAGTAGTTCTAGAAGAATTCTTGTCCTAGACCTAAGTACAATGAGCATGGATATGTCTATATGTGTGACATAATTTCCCACCATGTAACTTACTGAACAAGATGTGCCATCTATTTTAAAATACCATAGCTCATCTGTGATTTTTATTTGACAAGTATTTAATAATAATCTCCCACGATCAGCTTTCAGCTGTGTTAAATCTGATTTACACCCATTCTTTTTTCTCTGTATGATTAGAAATTGCTCTGATTATTAAGGGTGTCGTCGACTAAACACTGCTGCTCTGCAACCTTGATAGATCTCAGCAGGACAGTGTGGAAGCTTCACACAAACCCTCATCAGTGGAAGCCTTGGTGGTGCTGGTAGCAACAACAGTGTTTGGTGGGGAAAGCGGAAACTGTAGTCTATACCCAATGAAGAGTTTTCTCTTACTGCTTGTTTGCACTTGCTCATTGTGCAAGATGAGCTGGAAGCCCAGAAAGCAGATTTCTTTTCTAGCTACATGAAGCCGTATTTCCAGCTGTATTTTAGTAAAAAAATAAAAATAAAAATAGTCTCAGGATTTCAAACAGCTACTCTTAGGGCTCACACGGAAGTGATAAAATGTCTTTAGAGGGCAGTATGTAACATACAGTTTAACAGCATGAGAAACTGTACAGGTATTTTATGGGATTTGAAATCTCTGCCCTGATTGGTAGGAAACACAAGTCATTAAGGACCACAAAATGAACAATAACCTGACAAGAAACAACCAATTTTCCATCAATTAGAATGAAGCCTCCTTTTGTTTTGGGGCTTATTTTTTAATATAAAATTAAGGGTGCTGATTGGTGATTACTTTTGTCTGACGACAGTTCATTACAATGTACAGGAAGAGAATGTTAACCGTTAGAACTAACAAAGAAAGGGGAGAGTACAAAAATAAAGAAGGCGGGTGTTACAGCAGCTCCAAACAGCCTGATAAGGTGGTCTTCCTGAGGGCAAACACAAATCTAGCAGACCAGTTTTTTCCTGAGCTAACAGAGCTCTCTTGGAGCCTTACACAGAGGTTACACAGATCAGCATCCGTTCCCAAAGAATGCAAGCACTCGGATGAAAAGCAAGAATAATCAACGGACAGCTCATTAAATCTGTTCTGCAAAGGGAATTGTTTTATTGGAACCACTGCTTATCTTGTTAAGCAACAAACTATTACAGCCCACACTAGCTTTCAAACCCTCCTATACATCTATGGGGAGAAAAGAGGTTTCTCAGGGCTAGTACATATCCACAGATTAGCTTCTTTTGCTCCTGGATTTTGCAGAAGCATGCAAGTGCAGAAAAGCATCCCTGGAAAAGGTGGGTGTCTTGACAGGGCCAGCACCTGCAGCTCCTGCTTTGTATATAGGAATTCCCAGGTTCAATGCCTAGCTGCAGCCAGGAAGCACTGGAAAAGATGCCTGTATGAAAAGAGACACTCTCATTCCATGTCAGATGGGTTTGGACTAAATATAAGGGCACTTCCTGAGTTTCTGTTCATTTCCATGCCTCTTGTTCATTCACGGCCATCATTGTTTTGTCGAGGGTTCTTCTGAACATGGGTGTTTATTTTTAATTCCATCTCCCTGATCTTCCAGCATATTAATCATTTTCATTGCTTCTTTCTACAATTTTGTTGGCGCTACTCTTTTGTTCTTCTCAAAACACCGCAATTGAGTCATGATCCTTGGGCAATCATTTTCATGTGCATCATCTTCCTCTCTCATATTAAGCAATCCAAGGAAGTTAAAATGTTGGCATATTCAAGGCAGACCAAATCAAGTGCTTTTTCACACACAATACATACTTAATGGAATGAGCTCCCACAAGATGTAGCGATGTCCACCAACTTGGATGGCTTTAAAGAAGGATTAGACAAATTCATGAAGGATAAGTCTATCAGTAGCTACTAGTCATGATAGTTATGTTCTACCAATACTGTTGGAGGCAGCATGCCTGCGGGGAATCACAAGTGGGGAGAGTGTTGTTGCGCTCAGGTTCTGCTTGCATGCTTCCCATAGGCATCTGGTTGGCCATTGTAAGAACAGGATGCTGGACTAGATGGGCCATTTGCCTGATCCAACAGGGCCCTTATGCTCTTACGATCAACTTTTCACCTTTAAAGAAAATGATTGGAATCCATATATGTCACAAGGGTGTCGTAGAACAGGGATGGTGCTGACTCAATAGCTAGTACAAGATACACTGAACTAACCTGCCATCAGAGTTCTCCTGCCATAAGAGATAAGGTGGAAGAGGAGGGCCTTTTCACCTTTGAACATCCTCCATGAAGAAGCTTAGCTGATTGAGAGGTTTTCATTCTACCAGGTGATTGATGATTTTGTATTTGCTGGTAGTTTCTGTTTTTCTACTCTTCTGTTTTATTGATTTTTAATATCTTATTGTCAGGGGACTGTCATCGGAATGGGGGAGGGAGGCAGGGGAATATCAAGAGCCTCCGAAGCTTCTGAGAAGCAGCTCCTCATCCGTCAGTGGAGAAAGCCACACCTCCAGTGGAGCGGGGGGGAGGGGGATAGCCGAGTGAAGGGAAGGCTCGAAGATGCTTTTGAGAGCCAAAGCACCTCAGCTAGCCCAGCCGGCCAGGAGGCAAACACGTCACTTCCGTCACCCTGCTTGCACAGAGGGTTGAAACGTAAGGAGGGGAGGCGGAGTTTTGGGGTGTCCAAGTTCTTACTGGGGAGAAACCGGAAAGGGGCACTCCCGGAATCTGCAAGTGACTGAGACAGACATGAACTTTGGGTTTCTGCACTGAACATAGTTTGCACCAATAAAACCTGTAAAAGACAGGTCGGAGTCCTGCCTGGTTACTCATGAGCAACCAGCACCTGACACTTACATATTTTTATTCTTGTTTTGGAATTACAATCATATTGCAAAGTTCCCTGAGATCATTATTATTTTATTGCTATGGGTTTCTGGGTGCCTCAACTCCCCTAAATTCCTGGGCCTATTAGGTGTTTAAGTTTACTCAGTGCTTGGAATATTAAGATGGGTGAATTTAGCAGTGTCAAAACACAGGCCAGCCTGATAGTGGCCGCTAAGTCATTAACAGGGATATGCCATCAGCTAAACTAAGACTACATGCCAGCCAGCAAATGGGTGAAGTCCCATTCTATGCTCTGGGAAGTAAGCATAAGACAATGCCAGTTTTTTGGGGGGAGAAAGTTTTAGGATTGCAGTTGGGGATGGTGTGGGCTGGAGGAAAAATAGTTGCAGTCTGTTAAACACGGCAAGCTGAGGGATGGAGTCAGAGCACAATGTCGACTGACTGTTTGAAGCTGCAGGAATGGGAGAAACAGGATCCTCTTGGAGTGTAATGCTTTGAACACCCCTGCCATAGGCTCAGGTTGTAGATATGTGTAAATTAACCATATATCCTAAAGACAACATGGTCTCCATTGTGCCTTGTTTCCAAAGGAAACACAGACTCTGCGTAAGCTACTGGACCTCTGGAAACTGGTGCTGCTCAGAGATAGGAGAGGCGTGTAACATTATATAAATATATTATTATATAAATAGAAATATATGCAGTCTTTATATTGTTCCCATGTCATGGCTTTGCTGTCTCATAATTGGGACCACCTTGCCCACAAGGTGTGGATTTGTTTTAACTTTCTACATGGGCACAGAATGTGAGCTGCATAATAGGTAAAAATCAACAGGTGTCAATTTCCCTGGCATAGAGAGGCAGGCACTGGTGGAAACAGTTCACCTGCTGATTTCCACCAGTAACCTTTTTTTAAGTGTTTCTCCGTGAAAAGGCAGAAAGCTTATAATGTGAGTTCAAGTGTTACTAAGCCAATTGTTTCTTGGAGAGGGTCAGGCAAATACATCTGGCTCGTTTTCCTGTTTCTTTGTACAGTACTATTTGTGGTATTGCACTGGAAGATTTCAATACACACCTGCAAAAAATTGTTTCTCAGATCAAGATATGTTAAACTGTAAATTTTGTTTGCAACTTTCCTACAAAAGGTACTCGTGCTGAATAAATAGCCCACTTTAAATGGCAGTGTTGCTCTTTTTGATTGAAATGGGTTAGTAAGCAATTTTTAAAGGTCATTTTTACATTTTGGTTTGTTTTGAAATGTATTTGTAAACAAACTTAATGTCATTTACATAACTTGCAGTTGGTAATACAGGTGTCGGAAAGAGGTCCACATTTCACTCAAAGGGACTGGCTCCTATTGCTTTATATCTTCCCCAGCCCACAGGTGCAGCCTTGAGTTTTTGCAACAAAATAAAAGCGTGTCTGTGGTATTATCATATTTTTTAGGGAAACTGTGACCTGCTAAAATGAAAGGTTTACTTCTCCTATATGTATGATAGAAAATCTGGGAAATGGAAATCTACACAGAGAGTTTAGATATACAGTCCATTCAGGAGGATCTCCTAGGCAAGCCCAGTTGAAATCACTGGGAGTGCTGCAAGAGTATGATGGCGTTTTTGTAAATTTTCCATGCCTTTCAACAGGGCTTGCTCAGAAGGCCTTTACAATGGATTATGTAAGTGGTTCTCAAATGGTATGTGGCAGACCACACTGGTGTGGCAGGAGAGGGTGGCAATTGAGGGGAAATCCAAGGGCAAGCAAAGAAACAAGGAAACATTTCAGTATAGTATAGATTAGTATAGTATAGTATAGATTAGTATAGTATAGTATAGTATAGTATAGTATTTATTTGCAGAATATGGATAGATACATTTTCAAAACGAGAGCAAGAGCATCAGGTGATATTGAGGACAATCCTAGTTGTGATGCAGAATTGCTGTTCGAACTGCACTGGATAATAGCATTAGCTATTCTTCTACAGGGATTTTAAACTCTGACAAACATGAAAGATCAGACAAGAGAAAGGCTTATTTGTGTTGATGAGGAGAGGGGGGTTTGTTTGTCTCAAATTAGACCTAATATAAATGAGATTACCCAGCAAAAGCAAGCTCATGCTTCTCACTGAGTTTGTGTATATCCTTAAGTTACATATGTAAGAGACTCATCGATAATTATATTTTGGGGATGATTCATGTTGCATTGTTTTAAACTTTCTGGATGTCCCATGATCATATTATAACGTAGTTGTGTTCTATGTTATAAATCAAGCACTGCTAGGAGTTGTTTCTTTTTCCCCCCCAGTGTATTTCTTACCAATAAGTGTGTGCGAGCAAATTTTTGTTCTGAAAGTGTGGTCCAGAAAAAACGTTTGAGAACCAATGGATTATGTCTTTGGAGTAAGATTGTTGTTGTTGTTGTTTAATCATTTAGTCATGTCCGACTCTTTGTGACCCCATGGACCACTGTCTTCCACTGCCTCCCGCAGTTTGGTCAGACTCATGTTTGTAGCTTTGAAAACACTGTCCAACCATCTCGTCCTCTGTCGTCTCCTTCTCCTTGTGCCCTCCATCTTTCCCAACATCAGGGTCTTTTCCAGGGAGTCTTCTCTTCTCATGAGGTGGCCAAAGTATTGGAGCCTCAGTTTCACGATCTGTCCTTCCAGTGAGCACTCAGGGCTGATTTCCTTCAGAATGGATAGGTTTGATCTTCATGGGACTCTTGAGAGTCTCCTCCAGCACCATAATTCAAAAGCATCAATTCTTCGGCGATCAGCCTTCTTTATGGTCCAGCTCTCACTTCCATACATCACTACTGGGAAAACCATAGCTTTTACTATACGGACCTTTGTTGGCAAGGTGATGTTTCTGCTTTTTAAGATGCTGTCTAGGTTTGTCATTGCCTTTCTCCCAAGAAGCAGGCGTCTTTTAATTTCGTGGCTGCTGTCACCATCTGCAGTGATCATGGAGCCCAAGAAAGTAAAATCTCTCACTGCCTCCATTACTAACTATTTATTAGCTTCCATGCCTCTGAACTGAACAGTAGCCTGTCCTATAGACTTTAGAAGACCATAATACATATCAACCTGCCACAAACAGCTTCTCTTTCTATGAATTTATGCAGATCAAGCTACAGATAAAGGACAATTTTTTTCTGGTCAGTTGACAACCCTATTTTGTGGTGTCCTCCCAGCCACACTGAATCATTCACATGTTTTCAGGCACTCCCACTGAGTCTTAGGCTGAAATCCTATACTCACAACCCTGGGAATATGTTCCACTGAACTCAATAGGATTTACTTCCGAGGAGATTATATATATAGAGAGAGAGAGAGAGAGAGAGGATTGCACTGCCAGTTTCCACTGGGGACTTCAGACGTCTGTTCCACTGCTCTTCACAAGCACATCACCCCAAGAAGTTTACAAGGTTTGTGGTACAGTGGAGCTACATTCAAATTGCAATTCACTGTTTTATATATTTAAAGGCCAAAAAACGAAAACAAAAAAAGGTGGGCCATAGTGCAACAGAGTTGCTGAGACTGACAGTGCCATCTGATATATGTCTACTGAGCTGTCCCACTGAATTCAATGAGGCTTAATCCCAGGTAAGTGGGTATAGTATTGCACTTTTAGGATGTGAGAAATGGGGCGCGTGGAGACATTTGAGTAAACGGAACTTAGTTACTGTATTTCTCCTTGCCTTAGTAAAGGAGATTTGAATCATTCCCCACCCCCACAGGAGGGGATGGCGATGAATTTAAAGCCCTGTGAGAGCCTGAGATAGTATTAGGGGTATTTGCATTGAGTTTCTCCCCATCTCCAAATTGACTATAATAATGGCGAGTTTATGAAAGGGAGAGACATATTTAAATGAATGAGACAAGAAAAGAAAGGGCGGGGGGAGAGAAGAAAAACCATCTGGATCTCAGTCACCTTCCAGCTCTGAACACATTTGTGCCACCAGTTCCTAAATGCACAAATTATGCAGCCATTTCACGGGACACTTAGGACTCAATTTGCAACGCGGCAGTGGGGGGAAATTGGGCACATAATTCCCCCTGAACAATAACAGGGAGTCGCGTGGTTAATTTAACTCAAAGCCTGTAGCCAGTTTGCACTCCATCAGAGAACACCGCGGCAGGCGCATTCCAGTGCACGACCATGAAGCAGGCATCCGGATTGACATGCACCCGTCTCCATGTCCAGATTGGAACCAGAAGAAAGTCAGCGTAAGATTGTGTGTCTGCACGGGAAAGCATAGACCACTGCTTAAGAGAGACATTGCCCGGGATTTAAGAACAGCATAAGATGTTCCTGATGGGCTGCAGGCTTCCTGTAGGCCCACATGATACATCCATCAAGGGGGGGGGGTGAGAGAGAGAGACAGAGAGCCAGCCTCTCCTTATGTGTCATGGAAGGATTGTGAAATAAATACATACATATTTCAACGAGTTTTTATACCGTGAGGGTGGGCCTCTTGGATATATAATCTTGACCAAACCCAAAATGCACCAGGACAACAGGATAAACAAGGAAGGGAAGCAACAGGCCTTGACAGCCATGTTCTGGAGTAAAAATTGGATGGAAATTTGCCCATGTGGTCCCCTGTTTTCCTTTCCAAGACAGTGGCTAGGCAAGGTCAGTTGCACGTATGCACACACACTCATACAAAACTCCTCCTCACACCATAGGAATCCAGCAGCTGGGAGCACAGTGGCAGCAGGCTGTTCTCATTACAGACCAATGAGGCTGTTTACTCACCCAGCTGGAGATGGTTAGAGAGTGATAAATAATGAAAGAGAAAACATGATTTTCCCCTCTGTGGTTTCTACTTGTGTAACCATATGTCACAGCTCAATACGTCGGCATTTTTTTAAATTCTTTTTTTTCAGGAAACAGTTGGTTTTTTCCCATTCTGTGGCTACTTTTTCTCTCTCCCCCCTTTTCATTTTTTGGTTCAGTGGCAAACGTTTTCTAGGTTTGGATTTCCTTAAGCTCAGGCTTCTGTCTGCTTCAGGAGTTTACTTGTCCCCGTGACAACAATCTTTCAGTAAACATCCTCTTTTTAAAAAATTATTCTGAGAGTTCTCTCTAGTGATGTGGCTGAAAAACAAAGTATCCCAAGCCCATATGTGACGGGCATATTATACAGATAGAATTGCTTACTCCCCCTGCCCCTGACGGTGCTCGGTGTTTCTAACAGCTGCATTACAGGAAGAAATTCAACAGATGTTGCTTTCCCAAGTATAAGAGAAGTAGTGAGGATGGAAGGCTGTACCTGTTGAATTTCTTCCTGTAGCACATGTTTTAGAAGCATAGGCTCCCTGTCAATAAAACTGCTGACAATCCTAACGGCAAATAGCAGGGTTCCTCTGCCAGCAACAGATACCTGTTTTTAAGCAGTACAGCTCCATTGAGCTATTTCAAATTAATACCAGTTGGGAAACTGCTTTGCTCCTATGCTTTGAACAGCTAGCTGTCAGGGGTGCAACATCCATTGGGGCTTTTGCACTAAACCACAAATAATCTGCCCTTCCTTAAAAAAACAAAAACTTTAAAAAATACTTTGCCCATGGGATGGTAGGATGACCTTCAAAGCACAGGTCACATCCATACCACACATTTCAAGCACTATTATACCACCTAACAGTCATCATGGAGAGTCCAGGGAACTGAAGTTTGCCAAGGGCACTGACTTCACAGAACTACAGTTCTCAGCACCCTTAAAAGCTACAGTCCCCATGTTTCTCATTGACTGTTAAAGGTCTATGGTGACGGTGTGGCCACAGTGTTTGTGAGAGCCCAGCCACACACTGTCTTACTATGTCTGGAGACAAGTTTGTGTCACGGGCCTGTGCCCCAATTCTAGCCCCGCCCCTACTGAAGTTCAGCAGATTACGTATATGTTTCCTGTTAATCAAGCAGCTGTAAAAAGCAACTGAACCATACCAGAAACAAAAGTTGGCAATCCTGATCTCATAGCAGTGGAGATGGGGAAATGATGTCCCCTCAGAATATCTGCTTCCCATAACAGCCTGTTTTCACATTGTTTCATGATAAAATTGTCCTGAAACAGCTTTCTGTATCTCTGTGTCCAGGAATCCTTTCATCAGATCTGCTGACCTATACACAGTTCACCTCAGGCAAGGGTCCAGTTTCAGTTGCTTAATATATAATCACGTCTTGCAGTTGGTGTTGGATATGACACCTAATCTGTGTAACTACAATTCAGGAGCCTGTGTTGTGTTTGAATTACATCCATTAACTTTAGCAAACACACCCCCTCACAGAGTTGATCGAATTTTAAAATTTATGAAAAAAAACACCTCTCTGGAGACTTCGTGAACGTTATTGCAGGAGTGTCTGAACAGCACGTAACCCACACACCCCTCACTCACTCGGCTCATACAAACACATGCATGCACAGCTAGCATTTCAATTACATTGTTTCCCCATCTACCAAGTTCTCTTCTGTTATAAATCTCCCACTATTTCAAGATATATATCGCCTTTATTTTAAAGCCACAATATATCAGTACCATATGAAACCAGAGGCAGATCAAATGTTTGATCAGTCCAGAAGATATTCAACATGGAAGTCAAACAGGGTCAAAATGGTGTTAGGCTATATACGATTGTGTTGATAAGTCTTTCTTATTCCCCATCACTCATTTCTGGTCAATTAAAGCAGGGGATAATAAATCCACTCCAATTAAGATAACGTCTGGTATGTGCAACTCCGTGAGAATCAGTTTGTTCAACCCAGAATGAAGTTTCACAGTACAGCAGACGAAAAATCCTGCCTGTATCATCATACAGTCCAAAGAGTAAAGGTCCTCCATTTGCATCCCCAGTTTTTGCAGCTCACCAGATATGTGTGGGTCGGAGGACTAATATGCGTAATGCATAGAACTCAGGAGAGGGATGTAGCCAATCAGTTACCACTAACATTGTGTGTATCTCAGAATATTGTGCACATAAAATCTAGGGATTGTGGTGTTGGACCAAGAAATCACCTTCCTAAAGATCTCAATCTCTCCCTTCCTTCCCAAGTGTATAGCCCTTGTAGCTGCAAATATTTCTTGCCTCTCTCCATGATTCATTTATTTCATAAAATTTATACACCACTTGATTGTAAAAAAAACCCTCACACACTCTCTGAAACACAGAATAAACTGCAAAATTACAGTATGCTATTATTATCCACCACCTTTCCTCTCAGGATAGCCCAGGGTGACAAACATTACAAATATCATTAAAACAAATTAAACCCACAATATATAATATCATATACAATACAACAGTCTGCATCATCTGTACGCCACTCCTTTTGCTGTTCAAAGATGCTGGAACAAAAGGTGTTAAGGTGCCACCTGAACTAAAATACAGTTGGGGTCAGCCGGATCTCAAGAGAGAGAGAGAGAGAGACTCAGTGCCACCACTGAGAAGACCCTGCCTTATGTAGTAGTCTCCCAGGCCATATTTCCCAGGGATGCTACTATACTTCATCTGCATGATTTCTATGCACAGCTTTTATTGGCACAGACCTTGAGCTGTACATTGCGGCAGAAAAGTGATATGTGTTTCTTAAATACAGAATACTCAGTCCTGACTATTACTTCCAATCACAGCCAATGTATTCCAAAGTGCAATCTGAGTAAAAATTCCTATCCAGTCAAAGAGTTATAGCTCTCATTAAATACGTTTGTATTAACGGGAAATAAATGAGCAAGCATTTGTATAGCACATTTGTGCCCACATTGTGCATTTGTGCATTGTCTTATTGTCCTTAAAACCTCCCTGTAAGGTGAGTATGATACACATATTGGTGCAGGGTGAAGAGGATGAGGCCGGGAGGAAGCTTGGGCTGCCTAGTAAATTCATGGCAGAGGTGAAACTCAAAACAAGGGACTCCTTAGCCTGCAACCTGAACTTCACTTACTTAGAACAGAGTAAGCCCCGCTGAATTCAATGTGACTTGTAGGCATGGTTAGGACTGCAGCCTGAATCACTTAATCACTATGCTGCATTGCCTTGTCTACCCACTTCCATCCACATCAAATAACAGCTATGGGCAGGATACATAGAAGAAATACATACATGGCCTCATTTGATCTCCACTCACACAGCAACATGGCCCCTGCACTTTGCCAAGTTGCGCTCTTGATCCACCATTCTGAGAAGGGTGGTTTGAGAGCCCAACGTAGCAAAGCATGGGAAGCCATGTTGCATGAGTCACGGAGAAGCACCACCTTTCCATCCCTTAGTTCCGAGGCTCTAAAGCACCAGTACATGCTGCCTCCCACTACTTTGAGAGCCAGTGTGGCATAGTGGTTAGAGCAGTAGACTCATAATCTGGTGAACCTGGTTCGCTTCCCCGCTCCTCCACATGCAGCTGCTGGGTGACCTTGGGCTAGTCACACTTTTCTGAAGTCTCCCAGCCTCACTCACCTCACAGAGTGTTTGTTGTGGGGAGGGAAGGGAAAGGAGATTGTTAGCCACTTTCAGACTCCTTCGGGTAGCAATAAAGCGGGATATCAAATCCAAACTCTTGGTGTTTGCCTGGAGAAGCAATACAACCCCACTGTGGCCAGAGAATTGGCTCTAGGAAGTAGTAAGAGGAAGATTAGGAGGGGAGGGGAAGAGCTTTCAGAGAGAGAAAGACCAAGGGAGGGAGGGAGGAGTTGGAGTTCTCTGGCCTTCTGCACTCCAACACCTTCAGCAGCCCAATTTTTCAAACATTTTGCTTTTTAATAATAAGAGATCCCTTTGGTTTTTACAGTCTTATGGGTCATATACCTACTTGTCACTCCAGAGAAGAACTGGAGCTATCTGCTGAGTTTTGTATTGTCCAACTTCTGCCTTCCCTACCTGGCCATCCTACTGTTACCCATCCTACTGGCATGTAAAATAAGGCATTAAAACATGTATGCTAAACAAATAACCCTGTGCAAAGCAGCCCATATATTTCAAGATGTGGTCATTTCATTCTTCAGTGAAGCTCTATTTTAAGTACTTCCATTTGTGTACAAGATGATATGTTCATATTCCCATGATGATATATATAGTTCCCAATGAAGATGGATGTTTAATTAGAGGATTGATTGATGCCAACTGCTATCTGGCTGGATCTGAACCAGTGATTTGGAAAACGAAAAGCTCCACTAGTCCATTGCCAAAGCACTGAACTAGCCGAGCCTTAATCACATGTGCCCAATAAACCCTTTTAAGGACCAACTTCTTGGACTTGAGAAGAATGACACCATCACTACATTACATTACATTACATTACATTACATTAGGGCGATGTTTGCCCTCTGAACAAAGTGTGTGAGTAGCACAGAAGCAAAGGGCGTTCTGGTGTGTCTGTTACCTTCAACAGGAGTTCTGCATATGTATTAAGAGGATAATAAAAAGAAGCTTTGGTGGGCTGTGGTGTGGGGAGCACAGGGGACACTTGTCACTAGATCAAGACAAAACCATCACAATCAGAGCAAAGCAGGACAGACAGTATGTCTGATAACAACTGTCAGCGAGGTTTTTTGATTGCATGTGTCGCAAGTATTCTCTGCACGCTCATGCTTCACAGAAAACCTTTCAAGGTTCTATATCTCAGGGAGCAAATCCTCACCGCATGCTGGGATCTATGAGTACCACTCTACTACTGAGCTGAACATCATAACAGCTAACTGCTTTGAGTTTTCCCATAC